AAAAAAAAAAAAAAAAAAAAAAAAAGAAAAAAAAGAAGATGGAAATGAACGAAAAGATAATTTTAAGGCGTTAATTTTACAGTCTCGAAAGAAATCTATTACGCTGATGTCACAACGCAGCATTTACTTACGTTAACGCAGACATTCACACACTTACCAATGTACGATATATCTCGCACGCTGTTTGGCCCGTCACTGTCAATTTTTCAAAGTGTAGTTACATACGCTACCTATATATACATATAATATATATATATATATATATATATATATTATATTTTAGAGGCAATTTTGATGTTTGCGAAATCTCGAGTCCGTACGACAAAGCCGTTCGGAACGTTCTTGAGGCCGTGATGATCTCTCTCCTAACTAACGATTAATTATTACGAAGCAACTTACGTATTAATAACTATATACATACCTACTTTGTGATATGAATCTCTCTGTCAAGCGACAGACTTTGTCGTACGGATCTCTCCGTATACATGTGGATTAGGAACAAAAAAAGGGGAAAAAGTGCTGTGAATAGAGAGAAACAAAAGGAGGGGGACGACAGACAAAGGGAGGAGAAGACGGAGGATGCGAGAACAAGTGTTAAAAAAAAAAAGAAAGGATTACATTACACGTTGAATCAAATTGAGTTCAATTTACAGGTTTCATTAAAGATGAAAAGTACGAGATTGTTAACAGGAGAGATATTACTAATAATTGCATCCACGCTGCAATTGTATGTACATATAGATATATATTATAATAGTTAGAGCGATTTATAACGAGCAATCGAGAAAGAAATGAACACGTGGTTATGTTTATTATATAATTATATGCGTATATATATATATATATATATATATATATATATATATACATATATATATATATATATATATATATATATATATATATATANTATATATATATATATATATATATATATATATATATATATACATATATATACGTATATATAATTATATATGCGATTAGTAAGATTTTACGGTGTCGATACGACGACGTTCCGTTTCTAACCTAAAAACGCATCGTTTTGTACGATTTATGGCGAGTGTTGCTGATCGAAAACAAACGATTTCGAACGCGCGACCTGCACAACTTTTCCATCGTGTTACTTAAATATTTTTACAAAAAGTCTTTCTCGTATACTGTTTCGCGATGAATGTAACATCGTGTCCCTAGGATATTCTTCTTTTCCTCTTCTTTTCGTTCTTTTTCTTTTTCTTTTTTTTTTTTTTCCTTGGTCGACTCATTTAAAACTTCGTTCCGGCACCTAATCGGTCGTCACACGGATTGATTTCTGCTTATATCGTTGTTATCATTAGTATTATCAATACTATTGTACTTTCTACTCTGTCTACCACCGGTATACTCATAGTTTAGTTTAACGCGTACACGTTGATTTCGTAGCGGATGTTTCTTTTAACCGACTCTTTTGATCGACTCTGTATTTGCTGTATGTAACACATTCCCAGACTAATATATATTTTATCATAATCGAGGATAAAAGGGAGAAAAAACGGTGTGCGAAAAAAGAGCGGCGGCGTGGGGGGGGGGGGGGGGGGGGGAGTCAAGAGGGAGAGAGCGTTTCAAGTATTAGGTAGGAAGTTCTAACATAGCGACGAGAATTAAATAAATTAATTGAAATGTTGTGTACATAGATATTGACTATTAATATAAACTGCTTATAGATGTAACGTATTTTTTGTAGGGACCATAATGTATAAGCAAAGTAATACGAGGACGTTTTCCCGTTTTTTCGTTCGTTCTCTGTTTTTTTTTTTTTTTTTTTTTCCCCCTTTCTTCGAACGATTCTTGAACGGTGATATCGCGTGAGTGTGAGAGTCGAAAGTTTTTTTCTTTTAAAGCCCAAGGTTCGTGCAAAATCGAAGCGCGAGTAGGAAGAAAAGCAATATAATAAGCTTTGCGGTGTACGAGGAGAGGGAGAGAGATACGAAGAGTTGACTTCTTCGTGAATTATGGACCTAGAGATTAAATGTATGTAATAATTATGGAAGCTCGTGGGAAGTTGAGATTTAAAGACGTATACACTGTTGAGAAAGATCTCGAAACGCGTCGAGACATTTTCTGTTTGTAACACTCGCGGAAGAGATTTTATCAAACGCTGTGAGCGGCATTTGTAGTTGACGAAATCTTTTCTGGGAGCGTAATGGAAAGCGAGTAGAAAGAATCTAAGCCGTGTGTTGTAACTCGTCTGACGTTGATCGACATGTTGAAGGAATGTAGAAAAATTCAACAGATCGTTTTTCATTTTCTCTGTGCGATTCGACACGTCTCGTGCAATAAAATTCATTTCCTTTCTTTTGTTTAGACAATAATTAAACAACACGTCAAAGTAAAACCTCTTACAAAAAAAAATATATATATATTTGGCTATGGTTGAAAGAAGAAAGTTCGTTGCGCGATGACCTTGAGCAGCCTCGATCCACGTCGACCGAGTTATATTTCGAAACGAAGTACCAGAGATTGTAAACTATTGATAATTAATATTGTGATTGATGGGAAAGATGGCCACACGAATTTGTTCGATAAAGCGCCCCAACGACTTTCAAAAAGCATTTCAGTTCGATTCCAGCTGTTTGATACGTGCTAATGCCATGCCATTTCATACGCCACAGAGAACGTGAGTTAACCATAGCGCACACCGACACCCACCTACCTATGGGTAACACACTGTACCTATTTCGTGTTACCTACTATTGTTTTACTGTTAGGTATACACTAGACCTGTGGTTCTCAATGCGGGGCTCATGTCCCACGGCGATAAACGGCGGGGGGGGGGGGAAGGCTAATTTGATTTTCTAGGGGGGACAATACGAGAACGAGTCATGAACAGTGAATTTCCTGCATTCTTTAAAATGAAAATTTAACTTTTCAATTTTTTTTTCTTTCGGATGTCACGTTCTTTGGAAGCTCGTTCAGACCTTGAAATTAAGTTGGTGTTTGAGGCTTCCTCCACAAAAGTCAAAAACTTTACTTTTCGAATAATAAAAATTACGTGTGACAGGGGTTGGGATTTTAGAGATGCTTAGGTGGGGCATGGCCAAAAAAAGATTGGGAACCACTGCACTAGACGAATTCTCCATCACACCAGTGAAGGCTGCTTGAGTTCACAACCCGCGCGATTTACAACCCGATTGAAATTTATTGTTGACTCGAGTATCGATGCATTTGGCCATATAATAAGAGTAAAGGGCGAAGAGGGAGGGGGACAAAGTAGCAAAGTAAGATTGCCCCGTTTCGATTACGCTGATCACAATGGAAAGGATAATCTTTGACCGATTTCCGTAAATCTACGGAGCCGCGCGAAAGATTAACATTGCCTTAAAGAAACGAAAGATTAATTGAATTTAATAAGGGACGCTCTGACGATGGTACAAGTGGCAAAGGTGAAATCAACGGGTGATGAAGGACGATTGTAAATTTGCGAAGACAGAGAGATAAATAGAATATATGGAGAATAATGTTAGATGTAAGGAACAAATCTCATATTGTCATAAAAAAAAAAAATGATTTATCGTTTTCTTGGATATATATATATATATATATAATTTTAAATCCCCTATGAGATAGAGAATGTGTCGTGCGCGCGCGCGGTCGAAGAAAGCGGTTTTTTTCTCAGCGTGAACCTTCTGTTTTTCATATCAAACACCGAATTTCTTCCGTAGATATGGAAATCGTGTTAGACATCGGGTAAACTTTCGTTTTTACGTTTCGCCAGGAAGTGAAAAGACGATGGCGATAACAACGCGGATTATTATCGCCCGGGACAATGTCTTTTCCCTCCGGCCGTCGAAACATATAAAAGTTTCTTTTCCTTCTGTCAGAAGTAAGGCACAAACAATGTATTTACAATGAATAAATGTTTTGAAAAACTGTTAAAAACTGGCATTACTTTTGTTCAGATTATAGAAAGTACACTCCTCCGACTACTTTGGCATACAATTTTGACCCACGTTTAAAACGTCGTTTCTGAGAAATTGAATGTTACGTGTACCAGCTGTGAAGACCTCGAGCAAAATTTTTAGAAAGCAAATCTCAATTCGCGCATTTTGTGAAATAAATGGGAAATATAGAAAGAAAGCCCGGAGTCTAATTTCAAAGACAGGGTCACAAAAGTTCGCGAAGTTTAGATTTTTTGGTAAATAAAAATTTGTTCGATTTATGGGCATTGAAATGCTAACGCCACGTAGCGACGAAACGATGGAACTAAAATGTATTGCTGTCCTCCTTGTACATTAGTACGCTCTCTGTCTACGAACGAGACAGGTGCCGCCATCTGTTGGATGTTTCCTTTTGTACTTTTAGTACCAATCAAAATTGAGGTGGCAGCACTATCCGCAGACAAGGAGCGCAACAGTGTGTGACAAGGACATAGTTATGCAGTGTGATAGACAAGGAACGCACCAAGTGCAACAAGGACAACGATAGATTTTAGTTCCATCGACTCACCGCTAAGCGACGCTAGCGTTTCAATGTCCATGAATCGATTAAATGTTTATTTGGAAAAGAAATCAATTAAGAAGATAATTTATGAATTTTTGCAGTTGTATCCTCGTTTTGAGATCCTAATTTTTCTTTCTATGTTCCATTTGATCCAGAAAATGTATGAATAAAAATTTGAAATTTTTACTCATTGTTAGTAGATCGAACCAGGGTGGACAAGAAGAACAATAGTATGCGACAAGGACCGAGCTATCGGTCAATTTCATCACTTCACTGCTAGTGTTTCAATGCTAAGAATGTAAGAGCTATGGTCTTTGCTTTAATAAAGAAAAACTTGTATTTTGACTCCGATTTTTCTTTTTTATACATTTGGGATATATTTCGCGAATGAATGATGTCTACATATTTGTACTTATTCTAGAGCGAATTCAGTAAGGGAATGACTACAGTTAAATTAAGATAAATGTATATACGATACGTTGTAACTCGAAACATTGTAATGAAAGGACTTTCACCGAAAGTGCACGTTTTGACGGATTAGCTTTCGGGCAGAAGAGGTCCCCACATGTCCATCCGACTAAGGCAAACTTATTTACGACAATTTAACGATGATTTAACGATCAAAAATACAAAGTAAATTTGAGAACATTTTATTTATTGCTCGGATATTAAGGTATGTCCCAAGGAATATTCTATAAATTTTGTACAAACAATGAGCATCGTAAATCCTAACAGCCTCGCTTGAGACTTTCAGGTAGTTAGTGATAATACACACACTTTAAGCTCCTCGCTTTCCTTTGGTTACAATTAAATTAAAATAAATGTATATACGATACGTTGTAACTCGAAACATTGCAATGAAAGGACTTTCACCGAAAGTGCACGTTTCGACGGATTAGCTTTCGGGCAGAAGAGGTCCCCACATGTCCATCCGACTAAGGCAAACTTATTTACGACAATTTAACGATGATTTAACGATCAAAAATACAAAGTAAATTTGAGAACATTTTATTTATTGCTCGGATATTAAGGTATGTCCCAAGGAATATTCTATAAATTTTGTACAAACAATGAGCATCGTAAATCCTAACAGCCTCGCTTGAGACTTTCAGGTAGTTAGTGATAATACATACACTTTAAGCTCCTCGCTTTCCTTTGGTTACAATTAAATTAAAATAAATGTATATACGATACGTTGTAACTCGAAACATTGCAATGAAAGGACTTTCACCGAAAGTGCACGTTTCGACGGATTAGCTTTCGGGCAGAAGAGGTCCCCACATGTCCATCCGACTAAGGCAAACTTATTTACGACAATTTAACGATGATTTAACGATCAAAAATACAAAGTAAATTTGAGAACATTTTATTTATTGCTCGGATATTAAGGTATGTCCCAAGGAATATTCTATAAGTTTTGTACAAACAATAACGAGCATCGTAAATCCCAACAGCCTCGCTTGAGACTTTCAGGTAATTAGTGACAATGCACTTTAAGCTCCTCGCTTTCCTTTGGTTCGGGATTATTTACTTTTCGATTAGTTCAGACGTTTTGGAAAAAACAGCGACGTATAGTCGGCAGGCACAAAAGAACCGAGAACAGCAATTGGCAAAAGAGATTTTATAATCGAATGTGCGAGATCATCTGATTTCAAATGATTTTTAAAGTAACGGCTTTCAGCTATTCTGCAATAATAAATTTCAGACTCATTTAAATTACATCTTACATACAATATTTTAATTCACAATATAATATATTTTATTGTACAATATATACAATTATATAATATAACGTATTTCCAATATATCTTATATACAATATTTTATTACAACAATATAATGTATTTTATTGTACAATATATACACTTACTATAGAATATAACGTTTTTCCAACACATCTTACATACATAATATTTTCGTTGATTGATACTCATTAAATTATTTGTATGAACGGCAATACAATTTAATGCAACCAACGGAGGAAAACCAATTGGAATTTCGTCTTGGCTTATGCGTATCCATGGAGGGGGTTTTATTCTCAAACGTCGAACCCCATTGGCCAACGTTCGAATGTAGCGCAACGAGACGCTCGAGCCAACTGCGTGAAGCGACCTCTGTAGCCATCTTGTGGCTCTTGTCCCTCTTCGGACGTTTCCGTCAGTTGTCCACAGGCTTTTCTAGCGTGCGGACGTCTGTGAGTGTAGTGTGTGTTCTGTCACCTACGGAGTCGCGTTTTCGCAAACGAACGCCCCACCGTACCTTCCATATTCAATGTGTATGGCGATTCAGGTGAGTGTCCATCGATCATCAGTTACTCCTCGAAATAATATTCCCGGTGAAATCTCGCTGTGTCTCGCGTCGGTGTGCACCGCTCCGGAACTCGGGAGAAGTCGATCGTTGGATTTTACGGGGCGCTGTGTACGCGCGCGTGTGCCCACTCGTTTGATTGCGTGCTTCCCTTCCTACATTCTACGTGCCTACAAACACGCACACTACGTACCTATATTCGCGTTGCACGACGCTCGCGAGGTTCTCTCGCCGTGTGTTGGTGGTATGCGTGGCGTGCGCGCGAGCGCGTTCGCGCGTCTCTTCACCGTGCACACGATTCGTCCGACCCTCTGCACACGCTCTTTTACACGCATCGAAATACGTGTGTTGCGCGGACGACGAACTCTGGCGTCTCGTCGAAACCCGCCGTCGCCGCCACCGCCGCTGACGCCACTGCCTATCTGCTTCCATACATTTCGATCGTTTTGAAACCATCTCGCTGTTTTGGGTGGCCGAAGTGGAACGTGTATTGTCTCTTGTTACGATTCGATCCTTAGACAGAGATACAAAGAATCCCCTTCGTCGAGTGCCTGTTTGGTAAAGGCAAGTTGCTTTCAGCAAGTGTATCCTCGAATTCCCGGGGCAGCTCCAATTGCGGAGTTACACGCCGACTCAGCGTTGTTCGTATTGCTTGATTCGAGCACAGTCCTCCGTCCTGTCTCTGCACGTTCGGTTGGCCAGAATGACAGACGGACGGGACCGAGGTCAACGACGAGCGGAGGCACGCTCCGTGTGACACGCGACTCGCACGCCAGAAGTGTACGCGTGTCTGTGTATTTCCCTTTTCCTTGCGTACATCTTTGCTGACCCAGCGGCGGTCGATCACGGGCACACCCGTCTCTCTGAAATGATCTAATCGAAATCGACTCGTGCTCGAGTGCTCCAGTCCATGCTCATTCCGTTCTTGTTCGTTGTTTCCTTTGTTTTTCTTGCTCGAATTAAAAAAAAAAAAAAAAAAACGTGGCAGATTCGATCACTTTAACCTCGGCTAGACCTCGGAGGGAGAGAAGCACGTGATATTAATATGATGATAAAATCGCGAACGCCTTTTACCATTCTTTTTGCAGTCGTGAAGCGTTTGGTTTTGAACCGCGTGAAGCTAGCCGCTGTTCACCGCGCTCGCATCCGACTCGGTGTTTGATCGACCGCCCGACGGAAGTCACTACGTTGATCGAATGTTTTTTTTAAAGAGGATCTTCTCGTGACTTTCGTAGCCAAAGTAAATGCGTGATAATCGTTTGTTTTCGAATTGGAGATCACCCGTTTTAATTTGAGACGACAAACGGAATGTGGGGACGGATTAACAGGTTAATTTGGATTAATCAGTTGTTGCATAAATCTCATACGTATGCGTGTACATCTTAAAATATTTAGTACAGGGATATTCCACGCGCAAAAATAAGCGAGAAATGTAGAATAAAATATTTTTATTTAAGACATTTTGCAAGGAACATTTTATTCTGCGTTCTTTATTTGTTTTCGTGCATAGAACAATTTTAATTCTGTTAATCATTCTTCTCTGTCATGTCCAGAATTGGCTAAATTATACTTGATAAATCTTCAAACTCGATTTTCTCGAGAAGGCTTCGATGAAAAAATTTTATTCATCTTTCTGGACTCGTTTTCTCACGTAGATTCATTTATTCGATACTAATTACTATTATACATCCTCCATAATAAGATCATCTGGTGGATTATTACGAGTTGACATTTATTAAAATCGTGTATTTTATAAAGAAAACTAAATTATATTATATTTCGAAGATTTTATTACTTACTTTTATTACTTTAGAAAACTAAGTTATATTATGTTTCGAATATTTTAATATTAGAAGTTTATTAAATTAGTTTCTCAAACTTATCAACGATTAAGAAAATTGAAATTCGACTGAAAAATTACTTCATTTCAGTTTCTGTGAATGTCTTGGTTTCATTTGCCTTGGTTTCATTCATCATCTGACGTATTATCTATAATTGATATTCGATTTCTCCAAAAATAAATGACTTCGTTACCAGATTATCTGTATTAAAGCGCTTGTATCTGCATTTAGAAATTGCGTCTTTAAATTTAGAAGCATTGTAAATTGTTTTGACCACCTTAATGATCCTGGCGTTAATAAACATTACGTATTTAACGTCGACAAGTGATTTATAAGAGCGACTACCATCTATCAGGTGACCAATCTCGTTATTCTACGTCGTTCGGTGTTGACTCGACGTATTATGTCAATGTCACGTAAAGCGTAAAATTACGTTTCGTTGTAATTATTTTCTTTTCCTTGTTTATTACAAATTATATTATTTAAATCTGAATTTCACTCACACATATATATTGATTTAATTATAACGAAACATATATATGTGTATATATATATATATGAAATTCAGATTTAAATAATGTTATTTGTAATAAACAAGGAAAAGAAAATAAGTACAACGAAACGTAATTTATATATATGTATATATGATAAACTCGTATCGCGATTGATCATTTAAGGTGCAAAATTATTATAAAACATTTGTTTCCAGCCGTGTCTGAACGACGATTCGTTGTTTTGCGAAAGAATGCAACATGTCTGACAATTGTGTTAATAAATTAGAATACATATATAATCCGTCACGCGTTCCGTGGATGTCGAGTGACGTCAAATAACGCAAGGTCATCCCCGTGCATCTTCCAGCCGCTTGGCAATTTATTAATTTGCAGTTGTTTCGAGCAGAACGTCACGATATAATTGTCGAATAAACATTATTTTCTCAGTATTTCTCCTTGTACGTGTTTTCCGCTTTTGAGGTTAGGTTTCCTTAGGAACTTCTAGTTTACTCTCTTTTCTTTCCAACGACGTGTAAAAATTATAGGAGATTGTTAATACGAGAGAAATGTGTTTCTTAGGTTAGGTTTTCTATTCCACGGGGCAACTGTGATTGATACACGTGTCAAGGTCATGTCAAGGTCGCATTTGCTTCTTAATGAAAGTAAATACATACATAAATGTATATACATATATATGACTAGAGATGGTCACGTCCCAAACTAAAATCACATTTGCGAACGACATTTTTAATATTCATACAAATGAATAATATCAATATGCATTGACATTCACGTAAACGATAAATGAAAATGTTTTCAGACGTGCAATTTTTTTTTAAAGAAAATAGAATGATGATATTCGTATATATATATATATGTATGTATGTATGTGAAAGAATAATATTTTAGATAACAATGTTTTTATTTTAAATTAAATCGAATAAGCAAAGTTTTATTACATCAAATGGGTTTTCTGTCAGGTGTGCCGCGAAGCTTTCATCGCGTTCATTCAATCATTCATACACGGGATTTGTCTAAATCGAATTTGTCCCGACAATCCGCCGTTAATTCCGTGGCTTTGTTAAAATGTCCAACGACAAGTCATTCTGTCGATAAGTCATTCCGAGAGGTTTTACCTTTGTCAAGGATTCCTTTCAAAAATCTTATCTTGATGTACACGGGGGATTTGACCTTGCATTCTTTTTTTTTTAATTGACAATGGAAATTTTTTAACGATACTGAACTACGTTCTACGCTTCTTTTTACTGCAATGCATTAATCTGCGCGAACGAATACAAAGCGAGTTTCGTTTAAAAATACGAAAGTTTTTTTTGTTTAAAAGTTCAAAAGTTTTGGAAGACCGATATAAATGAGACACCCTGTACCCAGTCGGTTAGATTCGGACAAGCACTGCCTTGAATGCAGGTAAATTGATAAAACTGCAACGCAAGGTATTCTTAGATGGTAACTGCTCGACAGACGTTATTCTCGTTTCCGTAAATTGCCACCCATGGTGATTTCCCTTCTCTCGAGGGGGGGAAAAATGAGTGACGTCATCCACTCCCACGAACCGTGCGTGAAAAAGAGACTGAGAGTTGCCCTTCTTTTTTGCCGAGCATTATTTAGTCTGTCCTAGCATTTACATTTAATCTCTCAATTTATAATTATTTAGTAATTATTCCTAGTAACTGCAATATTTGTTTGATTCTCTTCGTTTATTATTATTATTATTTTTTAAATAAAAAATATATTTAGAAAGACTTAATTACTCTGAAACGTGAATCTCGGGCAAGTGCTAAGCACTTCAAATACAATAACTGTCGAAAGTTTCCTGCAACCATTTCCCTAAATGGGAAAGTAAATATTTGAAATTTTCTGAAGTTTATTGGGAAGTCCGGTTCGGTTTTAACTACCAAAGTAATCAAAATGGCTAATTTGTAATTTTCTATATTTATATTTATTTTTATATATTTATAATATAATATATTTATATACGTAAATTTTATATATTTGTATATTTTTAGATACTCGAGCGATTTTTGATAAATTATATTAATAGAAGCTTATTTTCTTCATCTCGTATTATTAATTTTTTTCTTGTACCTCGTACTTTAATTTCTTTGGCTTTGTTAAAATGTCCAACGACAAGTCATTCCGAGAGGTTTTACCTTTGTCAAGGATTCCTTTCAAAAATCTTATCTTGAATATTATTATGAATATTATACTTTTAACCGCCGGTAGTTCTGACGTTAAATGAAAATGACCGATGAAAAGCTATCTATCTGCTTTTTTAATCGCAACAGGCAAAAATAATGAACGTTTATTGTTTAACACACGATGTTATAACTGTTCACTTCAGTAGGGCAGAGTTGTTTCTCTTTCTTTGGTGGTAGAACAAACATTTATGTCGCA